GTGCACCACTGGTTCGGAAAAATTGCCCACCGAGCCACACCGGCGGGTGTAGTTCGCGGTATGGTTAGCCGGGTTTTAGAATTTTGCAAGTGTGGTTCGCGGTGTGGTGCGCTTGTTCGGAGGTGTGGTTCGCTTTTAACCTTTGGAGCTATTTCAAATTTTGTGTAAATTTTGGTCAAGAATGATTTAGCGTCGTTTTGGCCGGATAAAGCTTTTTTTAAACTGTCTAACATAAAAATTTGTCAATTTACATATGCTTCTGTCTTCATGACGTTTTGGTAAATAAATATATTTTCAGATATAATGTTCTTTCAATTTCGGGAAAGACAATTAGGAATACCACGAAATTTATTGGATTTAATTTCCAATAATTGGAGAAAAATATGAGTGGGGTGCTAGAAGTTCAAAATTGTTAGTCTAAGGATGGTGACCGGGCTAGGTATTGTATTTGGCCAATTACCTTTTCTCTGAATATTTTTGTGGCACCAACAAGCATATTTATATTGATTTTCGAAAATATGTGTCGGTGAGCTCCATGGCATTCTTCGTCTAGTCATAACCTTTGTTCAAGTATGACGAATTTCAAGCCTAAAATTCACCATATATGAACAAAGATTATCTAAAACTTCAGAAACTTTAATACGGTGATTCAGATAGCGTTTAAATAAGTGAAATTAAATTTTACCTTTTTAGATATTAAGTTCTTTTGCGTATTTATTAGTAATTATTGCTAAAATTGGGGACAAACCGACGCCGTGATTGGAAATATACCTTAAAAAAATGAAATTTACGTGCAAAGCCCAGATCTCCATCAGACCAATTTTATTTTGTTCACCAAAAATATAAAAGCGTCCCGTTTTTTTGAAACTAGCATTTTTGATTTCCAGCCAAAATCTCGTTTTTTTAATTCTGTAAATTTTCTAACTTTAGTGCGAATCCAAAAATTTGGAAACGTGTGTCTTCAGATTGCCTAACTTCATTTATCAAAAATCCACTTGCAATATTGCTCGAAAATTTGAACAACTTTATAATTTTGATGAATTTGAAATACTCGCAAAGTATTCTGAACTTCAAATTTGGAAAGAACTGATTTTTTATAAGCCAGGTAAGTCATTCTTGTGAAGCATGTTTTCGAATTTTTGGATTCGCGCTAAAATTTGAAAATTTTTAAAACGGAGGTTTCGGTTAGAAAACAGTTTACAATTCTCGCCGAGCGCTCAAAGCAGCGCATTATGAAACATGCAAAAGTGCGGTGATGCTTATTTTTTGTAGTTAACAATATAAAATTGATCGCGTGGAGATTCGATGTTTAAATGTGAAAGACCTGAATAGTAGGTCTTCTCTGATATTTCCCAGAAATCGGAATGATGAATAAAGCCACAATCTTTCTGAACTCTTAACATGCTATGTGACCAATGCGAGATAGAAGTTATTATATCATAGAGAGGTGCATCAACACATTAGAATTGTAGCAATGAGGTGTCTAAACTTGACAAAAATAAAAACTGCAAGCAAAAGATTTTCAAAATTTACAACAGGAAAATTCAATTATATCTAGTGTAAACCCGGGCGCCTGGCGGCGCCCCCAGGGTTTTGGCGCCCCCTGCCTGCAGGGAAGAATATGCAAAAGAAGACGGAGGAAGTGCCACTTTTTAGTCCACGGACAATTTGTGGCGACTGTGCTCCAATTCCCGTTGGCCCTTGGATAAAAGTTTTGCTAAAGCTGAATGTTGTCCTTACAGACACTTATGTTGATTCTCACAACATTGACATCCTCATCGGCTCCAATTTAATAGGATGACTAGTAACAGGAAAGATGGTCAAGTTGAACACAAGTGTGATCGCAACCGAAACAACCATTGGGTGGTCCTTAATGGAGAGCTGCCAAAACAGAAGAGTCAGACCTTAGCAGCGAGAAGTATTCTTATGTGCACCAGAACCAAGGAACTATCAGCTCTATGGGATTTGGACACTCTTGGAATTAGTGATACAATACAAAAAGCCACCCAAGATGAGCATGAAGCCAAAGTTAAAGAAGAATTTCAGAAGAACTTGGAGCGGGACAAGGACGGACGATATGTCATCAAACTGCCGTGGCTTACCGAGTCGATGACAATCCCGGACAATCGAAATGTTGCTATTAAGAGACTTGAATCCACTTCAACCAGAGTCGTGACGAAGGGTGAATTCGAAAATTACGACAACATTTTCAGTGCTTGGGAGAAAGAAGGTATCATCGAGCGTCTTGATCGAGAAGAAAAGCCCACAGGACATTATCTCCCTCACCGGCCAGTCTTTAAGCCAGAAAGTCTAACCACACCAGTTAGACCCGTTTTCGACGCGTCGTGTAGAGTTGGAAATTATCCGTCATTGAACCACTGTCTCGAGAAAGGCCCAAATTTGCTGGAAATAATTCCGAAAATACTTATCAGGTTCCGGGCAAAGAGTCATTTCAGACATCCGCAAGGCTTTCCATATGATTGGAGTGAACCAAGAGGACCGGAAGTTTCAACGTTCCTTGTGATGGAAAGATTTTGAAGCCAAAGTAGTGCAAGAATATCAACATTGTCGTGTGGTATTCGGTATGAACTGCAGCCCGTTTATCCTTGCTGCTGTTCTAGAATTTTATCTCCTGCATTTACCAGAAGAAGAAAAGAAGACAGGGATGGAACTTTTGAGGTCGCTATATGTCGACAATTGTGTGACTTCCTTTGAATCAATTAGCCAATATACGGAATTTAGAGCCGAGTCAACAGCAATTCTCCTCCACGCTAAGATGGATCTTCGCGAATGGGAGTCCAACGCGGATGATAAGATGGAAGGAGAAGTGACGTCTGTGCTGGGCTATAATTGGGACAAGTCAAAGGATGAAATGTTTTGTGATCTTCCACTCCACTTGGGAAAAGAAGACTTGACCGTAACTAAGAGGACCGTGCTATCCATCGCATCTCAAGTATTTGATCCGATCGGCTTCACCTCACCCACCGTGCTCCAATTGAAAATTATGTTACAGGAGGCGTGGGCTCAAGATTTGAAATGGGACGAGTTATGGGGTACAGAAGCCATCAACAAAGTGAAGACGTGGTGCGACGAGGCACGAGTATTAAGCAAGATCAGAATTCCAAGATGGGCAGTGGCAAGTATTGATGACCTGGAACTGCACACATTTACAGACGCCAGCCAGAACGCTTATTCAGCAGTGGTGTTTGCCAGATCGACCAGAGAGAATAATGTGTGTGTCCAGCTATTGATGGCGAAGTCCAGGGTGGCACCAATGAAGAAAGAAGATCCCAAGAAGAATAACAAGAAGATAACAATTCCTCGATTGGAGCTTATGGGATGCTTGATTGGTGTAAGATTAGCAAACACAGTGAAGAACGCCCTCGGATATGAAGATGTGAAGAGTTACTTCTGGAGTGACTCAACAACAGCGTTACGGTGGATTCGGCGAGACGAGACATGGAACACTTTTGTGGGCAATCGTATTAAGGAAATAAATAAGAATTCCAATAAAGAAGACTGGAGACATTGCCCCGGAAAGCAGAATCCGGCAGACCTTCCGTCTCGTGGGTGTTCGCCGACCGAGCTGTTGAATTCGAAGTGGTGGGAGGGACCAGCATGATTGAAGTTGTCAAAAGAAGCCTGGCCCCCCATTAAAGAAGGTGTCGTCGAGGCTTTGGTGCAAGAAGAGAAGAATAAGTCTAATCTGACTTTAATCTCGAGATACGACTCCCCCATTTTCAGCACCGAGTTTGCATCATACCAGAAGAATGTAAGAGTATTGGCGTATATTTTGAGGTTCGTGGTAAAAGGCGCAGTTAAGATACCGTATCCCAAATTTATGACGCTGCCCGAACTCAGATTTGCAGAGGTAATACTCATCCGTGTATTACAACGCCAATATTTTCCTGATGCGAAGAAAGTGCAACCAAGAGTAATTTTAATGGAGGACAATTTGCTGCATGTACGGACCAAGTTAGAATATTCCGACGACAGCGATGGATTCCGATTTCCTATGCTGCTGCCTGCAAAATGTCCATTAGTTCAGGAGCTCATCAGAGAGATGCATCGATTTCACGGGCACGGAGGAGTGCAGTTTACGGTTGGAAAACTCAGGGAGAAATACTGAATCCAACAAGCTAGAAAAACTGTCACTCAAGCAATCAGAGGATGTGCCAATTGTAGAAGATTTGATGCCAAACCCTTTGAAGTTAATCCAGTAGCGTTACCAGAGAAGCGTGTCACCGTGGGCGAACTATTCAGTACCACTGGTGTCGATTTAGCAGGACCGCTTTATCTCAGTGATAGAAAGAAGTGATGGATTGTACTATACACATGTGCAGTGTACCGCTGTGTCGAGTTGGACATCGTGGAATCTCTTAGCACAGAAGCTTTCCTCAACAGTTTAGAGAGATTTCTTCATGCACATGGACGCCCCTCCACAATTTATTCAGATAATCGGACTAACTTTGTGGGAGCGATCAACTTATTCAAGAAGTTGGACTGGGCTAAGATTGAGAATCAGTGCAATGTGAAGATGATTCAATGGATCCTCAATCCTCCTACCGCAGCCTGGTGGGGAGGATGGTGGGAACGTCTGGTGAGATCCGTTAAAGATTTGCTCAAGAGGAAGCTGCAGAAGGCGAAGTTGACCAGAGATGAATTAGCGACTTGCCTTGCTGTCGTCGCATCAACTATTAACGAACGGCCCCTCACTACAGTGAATGAAGACGGTGACGATCTTATCCCCCTGACCCCAGCAATGTTTTTGAAGGGGACTAATATGTCACGATTCCCAGAAGTTGAGTTCATGACGGGAAGAGAGCTGCAGATCAGATTCAAACAAATAAAGAAATTACAACTGCAGCTACAAACAAGATTCAGAAAAGAATATTTGGCTGAGCTGGTGCAAAGGGCTAGCGAGAAGAAGACGCCAGACCCGAAGATCGGAGACATCGTTCTTGTCGGTGCGGACAATAAGAAGAGATGGGAGTGGCCCCTGGGAAAAATAGTGGAGTTGTTCAAAGGGAAGGACGGCGAATGCAGATCAGCTATTGTCCAGACCAGTAAAGGACTTTTACCCCGCCCAGTACAGCGTCTCTATCCTTTGGAGGTGCCCCATGGAGACTCCGACCGAACCGATCCAGGGTTGCAGAAATCTCACTAGTCGTCCACAAATCTCATCTCAGTGAGAAATAGTGAGATTTATGAGAAATAGTGAGATTTATGAGAAATATGAGATTTATGAGATTTATTCCACCTCCATCTTGCGGACAAAACCACGGCTAAGGAAAAGAGCATATAATCAAAATTCTCTCTGCACAGGTCATCAATACTTTTAAAATAAAAATTTATTTGGTAATTCAATAGCTAAAGAATATCGAAACAAGCTATTAAAACAAGTTAATTCGAGCCAGACAGCATGGCTAGACGAAAAAGAAACAATTCTGTAGTTTTTAAATTCGGGACGGTGGAGAAAATGACTGCATCCCAGGAGCAAGGAATTTTGGATATTTTAGGTATGGTAATATATTATTTATAATTAATGCGTTCGTTAATATACTGACCTTTTTAATTAAAGCAGAGGAAGAAGAATCAGCAGGCGGAAACCAGATCACACATGAAAACATCGAGAAAAACAGTAATCAAACGTTTGAAGGTTTGCAAAATGGTGAGGATTAGTTTGGCTAATTACTATTTTTGATGAGCAAAGCTGACTTTTGTGCACCTTGTGACATATGTACAGCTCGAGGTATAATATATTTTTTTCTATGACCAGAACCAAGCGATATCAAAGGAAACCTTATTGATCAAGTTACTGTCGCTGTTAATCCTGCTCAAATAGCTCGATTCTTGCCCTGCATGAGCCCTGGTATTTATCAAATATTAAATCGAATTTTTGAATTATTGCAAAGTCTCTATTAAATAATTAAAAACTAGGCAGAATGATCACAGAAGACGATGAGATTCTGAGCGAATGGACACTAGAACAATTAGATACAGGGGCGCCCGAGCGACAAATTCCGGTCGTGGCTAGCACTCAAGGTCAGGCGAAATCAGCAAATCAGCAGAAACTACCAGGGAAGCCTCGAAGCAATGTTTGGGAAAACTTCGATAGTGTGTTCGATGCTAATGGAAAGCCTGATCGAAGTTCAATGTCGACATGCAAAAAGTGTGGTCAGAAAGTGAGCTCTCAAGCCGACCGATTAAATAAACATTTATCTTCCTGTAAAGCATTACGACAAAACAAAGCCGGGACCTCAGCGCAAATGCCGTTTTTAAGCGATCAAATGCCTGAGTCCAAAGGAGGAGCACAATCAAACTTGCGCAAATATTTCAAATCCGTTAATGCAACTGAGAAGAATAAGCTCGACTTCAAGCTCGGAAGTTTTATTTTCGCCTCAAATTTACCCTTTAACGTGGTCTCTCATCCACAATTTAAAGAATTTGTTGCGTCGCTAAACCCAGCGTATAATATTCCGTCCAGGGAAACAGTTCGAACGACGATTTTGGATACTCACTATCAACGAGTTCTGGAGTTGCGGAAATCCGAAATTGAACATAAGGTTGGTGTTTTATTGCAAGACGGCTGGTCCACGAATCAAAATAAGCCTGTACTCTCACACTGCCTTGCCACGCCATCGGGATCGTACTTCCTATCCGCCGAAAGTACTGGAGCCGAAAAAAAAGACAGTGAAACATGTTTCAAGTATCTCCAGAAGGCTATTGATTATTGCACAGAATCACTTAATTGCTCAGTCGTTGGAATTGTAACTGATAATTGTTCTACAATGACGGCAATGCAGACGTTAATTCGTAAAGATTATCCACATATGGAAGTTTATGGATGCAACGCGCACCTTTTCAATCTTATCGGAGAGAAATTTACGGACAAAGATCTTGCTGAGAAAATACGACATGTTCAGACCTACATTCGAAACCATCACTTTACGAGTGGCCGATTGGACGAGATGGGAGGTAAACGACCGGTTCTTCCCAGAACTACCCGCTGGAACTCCCAAATTGACTCTTTTTTAAATTATCTGGAAAACCACAGTAAATATTTGGGCATTGTTCGTGAGTTATGCAAGGATAAAGATCATCGTGGGAAAGAAAGCTTCCAAAAATTGAAAGAGGTCGTTGAAGATAACTCGGTTTATAACAATGTAGAAGATGCGGTAAAACTGTTGCAGCCTATTTGTGTAGCACTTGACGAGGTCTGACATATGTGCAATTTATGACATTTGTGCAGACCACTTTCCATTTCAGAGTTCTTCTTATTTCTTTTCAGATGCAGAAAGAACATTCCACGCTCGCAGATGCGGCTGAAATGTGGATTACGCTTTGCTGCAGTCTTCCGCGAAGAATCACAACTAACGAGTATTTTTTGAAGCAAAAGAAACTTGGTCTTACACAGACCGCAATCGCGGCACATATCTTGCATCCTAAGTACAAAGGTATGTCTTTTAATGTAAAAATAAGTTAATTGTTAAATGATATCTGTTCATTTATACCACAGTATATAATATATATATATATCTTATTTCAAATTTAGTTTTAGGCTCACGTTTGACATCGGAGCAAAGAGAATCAGGACTGTCTTGGATATCTGATAAAAATCCAAATTTTTTAGTCCCAGCCGCCGCCTTAAACGAAGAAGCATCTGAATTCTTTTACAAGCAATACCAAAATGACTCAATTTCTGCACAAATGACGGCAATATCATGGTGGAAGGCTGCATCAAAGGACTCTGTCCGAAAGGAGATGCTTGACATGGTGATGAAATTGTTTGCTCTACCAGCTAGTACAGGTGCAATCGAAAGAAATTTTTAGACCTTGGGTCAGATTATGTCTGACCAAAGGAACCAAATCTCTGTTGAAACGGCCAGTAAACTGTGTGCAATAAATAACCATTATAAAATGCAAAACGAATTAGCAGGAAAACGACAACCAAAAAAACGAAATTTTAGTCAAGTAGAATGAATATGCAAATGTCACTCTTGTGCACAAAAGCTATTCCGGGATTTTTTGTTACAATAAATTTAAAAATAAATTACAAGACGTTGAATTACTCATTTATCATGTATTCTTTATTTCTGAAAGGCGATTCATATTTTTTTAATATTATCAAACTCGCCGTCCTCAATTTCATATGACCGAGAAAATGGATTTTTTGCTAGTGCTAATGGTAGATAAATTTCTTGGAATAATCTCATAGTGGCACGAGCATCTGTTAAAGAGGAGTGAATCCCTGATTGAATATCTTCGCCGAAATAGTGGAAATACAACGATCTTAGATTTATCGGCTGGTAAACTTTGTCCCCTGCTTTTGTAAATTGCCCTGACCATTTTCGAAACACCGTTTGAATATCAAATAGTTCATAATCTGACGGTACCAGTCCAAGACTTAACAAATCTGATGCACCCCCGGCTGTTACAACAACTTTTCCCTCTATAATCGATTCCGTTTGTTCTTTAACTGCTGAGAGTTCTCTCCCTTTTTCCAAAACAGAGCCTTCGAAACCATTAATCTTCTTTGTGTATGAGTTGACTTTATAACTTCCTGCCTTGTGATACACCGTCTCCTATAAATAAATATTCTTAGGTTTTCTCTCATTATCTTTAAACAATATCGATTTCTATAATATTTACTCACATTTAAAATTGTATCTTTCTTCCAATCAACAATTCCTACGGTGGCAGCTTTTTGGATGAATTTTCCATGTGAATTTTTTTGATTTAGGGTCACCATTTCACAGTCCAGTGACACAAATCCATCCATCCCGACCTCCTCCCACCAAGAGGTTGGTGGTGGTGTCGTTGGCATTTGTGCGACAGTAGTCGACATCTGCGCAACGACGCCAACCACTTCCTTTCCAACAGCATGTCGTTTCTTTTTGGATAAATGTTTATTAGGCGATTTCCTCTTCTTAGCATTATCTACGAATCTTTGCACTATCTTCAACTCGTCGTGGGGGGTGCATCTAATTAGAATCTTTAGTAAATTTAGCCTGGAGTCACGGTCAGTTGAACACGTCCAGTTCACCACTTCCTAGTATTTGTATACAACAAAATTATAAGGAATTCATTTTCATTCATTTAATATTGAATTAATTACTTGAATATTAAATTCGTCCATTTCGAATGTCGCTTGTCGTTTTATCGCCAACTGTGGAATATTTTATTATACATATGTAAATATCGACTATTAATTAATTGTTAGTTATTAAACCTTACCCTCAAATAATCGAGTCCAAAACAATTAACTCCTCTTGGTCTAGACCAGCTTAACAATATGAATTGGAGGAGGAAATAAAGATTCTCTTTTTAACTCAACTTTCGCTCTTATTTTGTTCAGCGGAAACTTTTCTTCTCTGTTGAGTTCAAAATTCGGGCCTAGACTCCTAAATTGCATAAGGCTCCGTCAATCAACTTATTATATAAAGTATTTTACATTTGTCAGTAAATAGTGAACACCAGAATATACGCCTGCCATATTTGCACCATGGTCGTAACCTTGACCTCGGAAGTTCTTCAATTCCAGCCCAACTTTAGATAATTTTTTGAGAAGTACCTCGGAGAGTCCATGCCCAGTTTTTTCAGTCATTGAGATGAAACAAATGAAACTTTTGACAATTTTGCTGCCAGCCTAATTGGATTTTACTGTCCTAATAATCTGCGAGATTTGGTTTTGACGAGATGTATCGGGTGTGCTGTCAACAAGAATGGAAAAATACTCCCCCTTTGGGAAGCTAAAATATTTTTCGCTATAAACAAGACGGCATCCAAAATTACTCTTAAGATCAATCGCCAGTGGTTAATATTTCCATCACGAGCTTCTCAGGAAATTGAAACCAAAGATTTAGGATTCTTGGAATTTTTGATAAAGTTCTTCCAAACCCGAATCGTGGCGAAGTGGGTCAAGCTTTCTTCATGCAATTCTAATCCTCGATGTGCGTGTTTAAAATCCTTGATGCCAATTTTCCAAACTCCATGATTACTCCACGGCAATGGTGCTCCGGATTTGACGGAGAAGAAACAGCACGGCATAGATCGGAGTACTCCGGGCTTGGAGTACGTACTCCGGCCTCGGGAGGCCGGAGTACGCAGCTTTTTCTGGAGGCCGGAGTACGCGGATGCCGGAGTACACGTGGCCAGCCGGAGGCCGGAGTACGCGGAGGCCGGAGTACACGTGGCCAGCCGGAGGCCGGAGTACGCGGAGGCCGGAGTACGCATGGCCGGCCGGAGGCCGGAGTACGGAGGCCGGAGTACGCAAAATTTCCGATCGCATAGATCGGAGAATTCCGGGCTTGGAGTACATACTCCGGCCTCCGGAGGCCGGAGTACGCGGAGACCGGAGTACGCATGGCCGGCCGGAGGCCGGAGTACGCAAAATATCCGATCTATGCATCACGGTAGACAAAGCGCTGTTAGTTGATCCAAAGAAGTTTTAACCAGTCCCGTAGTACGTTTCACCATTCTTCTTCGTGCCACCAAAAGACTTCGCTGAGAATTTGTGGCCATTGATGGGGTTCCATCTTAATCGGAGACAGCACGATTTGATCTCGAATCCTTTTCGGCAGAATTTGAGGCCAACAACTAGGATCCGCGACATCAACGGCTTGATTCTCAACGGCTTTATTCGCTGAAGTTTCCAATGAAACCATCGCTAAGGATGGGGTTGGTGCACAAACCTGATTATTATCATCATTAATGTGCTGCTCTCGTTATCATTATGAACTAAGATTTGATTTTTTTAAGTAAGCCAAATAAGCACACCTCAGCCCTTTCACTTTTATCGCGAACAGGCTCATTGGCATCAACATTTTCATCGTTCAGTCGACCCGATGAATCATCTTTAGAAGTGGCAACCCCCTGAAATAATTAATTAATTTGCAAAATACACAATTAACTGATAGTATTTACATAGTAGAAGTAAGAATAGCATGGGCACTTCATCCTTATCGGCATCCTCATGAATTAAGTTTTTTGCCGCCGGTTTAAAAAAACGTTTCAGCCTGATGCCGCAGAACTTTGCTTTTCTCTTCTCTCACCTTCAATTGCGCTTTTGAGCACCCGATGCTTTCAAAGCATCGCTGAGAGGCTTCTGGTTCTCTGATTTATGTTTTCTAGTCATTTTGGATTATATAAAACAATTTAAAAATGAAATTCTTAGTCAGGCTGCAAGGATGACAAATAAACACGAACAAAAATTAAATAAAGAAGGATGACAAAATTGTGATGTGGGCTGCTTCACGCAAAAATTCATTGTAGCTGGGGAATTTACTACCTAAAAGGAATATCCGACACACAGATGCGCCTAATCTATCATATTCAGCATGCAACTTCGACCAAAATTTGATTTCCGCGTCCGTATCCCTACCATACCAACAATGTGGGAAGGACACGAGCACGTGATGGTCGAGGTTGCATGCTGACCATAGTAATAAAGCCATTAAAGCTTTTGGACTTAAATTTTTTAATGGACATGAATGGCCCGGCCCCTGCGGGGCCCGGCCCTGGGGAAAGTGCCCATCCCGCAGCTAGTCACTTAGGCTCTGGTAAATCGTACCATGCATGCATGCATATGTACCTATGTAAATATTTCCGAATTTTTCAAATAAGAAATCAAATTAGGCTTTTCATATTTTATAAACTTCAGCCACTTGTCTCAAAATTTTTATACCAGATACATACATAATCACTTTTATATAACAAAATCAGACATCAATATACCAAATTTCATCATGCGTCTTATCCAAATAACTCGTCAAGTTTTGACTCCCCCCGCCAAATACGTAAACACGTCTCATCTTCGGCACAAATGCGGCGCCCGTTCTGGAAAAGAGGACGTCGCCCCCGCCCGGAAGTCCCGCCACGGGGCAATACTCTCCCACATCGAAGGGTAACTGGTACCAATAAATGGAATCGGTTGGATGAAATCCTCCCACAATGAAGCCCTCCCGCTCATCATTGGTGGCGGACATCATCTGGACGAAATCGTCGGGGATTTGCAAGTTCGAAATTGCCCCGATATCTGGACCAGGGGAGTAAACCACGTGGTCATAGGGCGGGTTCACGGCGGCATTTCCCTGCCCGAAAATGTACGCCCGCTCAGCATTTTTGTCCCAAAATGCGGCCGCGGTACGAAATTTTGTCGGGAGATCGGTCAACCTGGTCCACGTGTTTGTCGCGTGGTCAAAACGGATTACTCCATTTTGAAATAAATTTCCCGCCTGGATGTACGAAACGGAGGAGTTGTACAAGAATGACGCGCTGTATTGAAGGTCATGCCGAATTATGGCGACTTCGGTGACCTGTCCGGTGTTGGAGTCGAATTTGTAAACGGATTTCGAATCTTCCATGTTAGGCGCGGCCCCGCCGAAATAGAAATAGTTTCCGAGCCCGTCGGCCGTAACGGTGCCAAGATAAAGGCCTTTCGGGAGGTGGGCGACCAGTGCGATGGAGTCGGTGGAAATTGTGTATTTCAATATTTCGTTAGAGTAAACTTCCCACCCGGAGAGATACCAGCGGGCCCCGCCGAATATGTAGATTGAGTCGGCCCCGTCGTAGGAGACGAGGGGGGCCTGCGTGTGGGCGGGAAGGCGGGCGCGGCACAAGGTGGCGTAAAGGAGGGAACAATCAGCGGAGGAGGTGGGGGAGAAATATGACGAAAAGGAAAGAATGAGGAGGAAGGAGGCCAGGATTTTTTTAGGGTGGCCCATTTTTAAAAAAAAGTCAAAATATTTTTTTTATTATATTTTTGAAAGTTATTTGAATTTTTGAATTTTATAAGTAGTTGCTATGTATTTAGTAGTTGTGTGGTTTGTGAATACTTGTGTCAAGGTGTGGCTGTGGTGGCGCTTTTATATTGCAAAATGTGTATGAATCTGACAGATTAATTGTGCAACTGCGCATGATCAATTCCTGGAAAGCTGGATTATTTATGTAGTTATGAATATCTTCGTAATTGTATTGTGTAACTGGGCAAAAGGCGACAAAGGAATTAATCCACAATTCTGGAAAGATGTGATCAATCACAGTGGCATCAACATGTTTGTCGGGTGAATCATGAACTCGTGAAAATCCAATATTTCGCTTAATATGTTATAGATAAAAATGTGTTTTTGCATAAAAACATGATTGTGAAGTGTGTAATCAATGACGAATTATTTACATTTAAAGTCAATAGGTACACTTGTACCATGCGTATTGGCGCATCAAACAGGTTAAATCGTAATCAAATCTGGCTGATTACATCACTTATCTACCTATTTTACTGCGATACAATTTGTCATTTATTACTTTACAATGTGGATTTTGTATTAAGGGGAATATAGGAGTTATCTATGTTTACACTTCAAGTTATGTAGTATCCGATAAATGTTCTGAAAACGCTTTTTCCAGAATTCTTCATTAACTCCTTTGTCGCTTTTTAGTTATTGGATAAAGTTGCGAAATACATAATCTTTGGCGTGCTTGCAAATCGATGCATTTTAAGCGAAAATAAGTACATATGATTCCAATCTTTCTTTGATGTAATCTAAATATAGTTTCTGGTGGTGTGAAGAGACAGGTAGGATTCGGTCGGAAAGTAAAGAAACATTTGAAAAAGTATATTTATTTGTCTGAAAGAAAAATTGTCACTGAGTTGGAACGCGGTAGTTTTGTAGTCCATGCGATTGGCTATCCAAATCAGAAAACCGGAAGTCGATATCTCGATTAGTTCAAAAATGAGAACAAAAAATTCAGAGGAACTCGCAAAAAAATTTTGCCACTACTACGAAAAAGTGTGCGAGCGGGTCCGGATAATGGTTAATAGCCACTTCGAAAGAGAAATAATTCATAATGGGGCAATTTGCAGAGTTTTAGATATGTATGAGGGGAGGAGGAATGCTGAATCCAAAAAATTAATTACAGCGACCCCCAAAGTGATACGTAGACTTCAGAAGGAAAACAAAAATAACCTTGGGATATCAGATGGTAATTTGGGCTACAAATTGAAAATAGCAAAATTAAGTTTACATGACATTAAACCTACGAAGTTGGGGGTCAAATCCTATAGGGCGACACCTGCACCAAAGTACAACCAAGGTCAGCAAAAAAGAGCAAAGCCCAACTCTCGGCAGATTGCTGAAAAACGAGTCAATCAAAACATGCCCGTGATTCTGGTCATGAATGATGAGACAAAGTGCTCGATTGATCCAGATGAAGTCCCTGGGAGGAAGTACTACTCATATACTAATAAGAAAACGTTTAAAATTCCTTCCAATACACGCCGAAGTCAAAATTCCCCATAAAGCACATAATCGGGCAAGCATTGGACTCATTGGGGGACGTCTCAAAGCCGTTCGTGACCACAGCCACCATGACCTAGGAGAGATATCTGAACGATTGTGTAAAGTAGATCTTGATACCCTTTATCAATAATCGCAATGTACTTTTCTGACCAGACACAGCAACATGTCATTCTTCAAAAGTTGTTCTGGACTTGTTGCGGTCGAAAAAAATCGATTTTGTTGCAAAAAAGGAATATGCTCCCTACGTTCCTCAGGCAAGACGAATTGAAAGATTTTGGGCATTATACAAGAGAGAATATAGTCGTCGAACAAAACCACCCACAAACTTTTTAAGATTCCGTTACATTTGGACACAAACCACAAAAGAGGTAGCGAGAAAGAGTGGCAAAGCACTTTTGGGGACCGCGAGGCAAATAATTCGCCAGATAAGAAGGATGGGGGTCTATGGACCATATGAAGCAAAAAATTGAACGATAAGGACCTTGTTCTTAACCCTTAAAAGTGTCATTGGAATTAATTAAGTTTTACGGATTTTACAGGCATTTTTCAAATGTTTCTTTACTTTCCGACCGAACCCTATGTAACATCAGAAGAAACTTTTATGTCACCTCGTTTTGAGTTTACTTTCTTCACATCTTTGACCAGCTTGGTAGAGTTGTTGATTAAGAATTCGTTATTTGAGGAAAATTGTGTTAAAATATTTGAATACCCTCATTGTTAAAGGGTGAAACGTCTTTGTCGAATCGATATGTCCGTTCTTCCGTACGCTACATCATCTTAGGAACGGCTTAAAATATTGACATGAGATCTGGGTCATAAATACTTCGCACACATAAGGATAAAATCTGCTTCTAAAATGGGCACTGCAGGTCAGACCTGTCAAGGTCAAAAACTCCTTTCTTCTTCTTTCGTTCCTGATTTAGGATTTGGACGACTCGCCCATTTAGAAATTTAGAAATCGTTACTACGTAAATTGCAAAAAGATGGTTTGTAACCTCTGCCAGAGCGATATACATAGTCTATTCATAAATTCCCGCACAAGCATTTCTGGTGATAAATCCCAAAGTATTGGAGCCTTGTGTTAGAAATTTTTATGGGCGAACAAGGTACTAATATGGCTTACAAATCATCACTTCTTGAGTTCCTCCAAGGGCTCATACATTAGACATAAGTCTGGACGGCGGCTGATCGGTCGCGGCACGCACCTTTTTCATGGGAAAGTGTTCATGCCTTTCAGAAAGGATGCCTTCAGTGAGGATCCCTTGATTGGACAGATATTGGCTCTACGGACGTCTGGCATCCCTATAGGTACGCGGAAGTAAATAAGAAGTCACCAACATTGTGTGAAAGGGAGCGAGTTGGCTGGAGAAAGGAAATCCCTGTTTTTCGTGGCAAGGAATAAAAATTCAGGTCAAGAATTATTTTCAGAATGCTCCTGAGCCAATGGTTAAACCCCTGTACCTTGAACTATTCGAAAAATAACATTTGACTTTCAACTATGCTCTGCTACTGAGAATACGGCAGAAATTGTCCAAAACTGACGTCGGGCGAATTTTTATAATTTTTTTTCATCGATGGAACGGCCCTCAGCATCTGCAGACCTTAATCCCCTAAATTATGACTGGTGGTAAAAATTATAGATACAGATATGTTCTAAGTCTCATAAAAGCGTTAAAGGCCTGAGGTCATACTGACTGAAGATCTGGGCGCTTTTCCCATGAAAACCGTGCGTGCCGCGATCATGCAGTTTTCGTCACGACTTATGTCTTCTGTATAAGCCATTGGAGGAAATCTTGAAAAAGAAGGTATGATTTCTCAACCATAGTAGTACCTTGTTCATCCATAAAAATTTCTAACATATATCTGTAATACTTTGGGAATTATCACCAGAAATGCTTGTGCGGGGACTTATGAATCAACTGTGTATTACAATTTTTGCTTCCCTATGCACGGGATCCTTGGTAAGCCTCCCATAAACGCTTGCCACATTTGATGAAACCACTTGACTATTTTCTCCCTTGTACCCAGATGACAAAAAACTTCGCGTAAAGCCAAAAGCCCAGACTAAAAATACAGAAATGCCATGATATACCCAAATAGGATAAAATTTCCAAGCCCAACAACATCATTTTCAAATCCTGGTGACTTCTTTGGCGGCCAATGAACAAGTGCTCGGTGAAAATCTGTTCGAAAGTAGGTGTTATTAGAGTAAAAGGCAATTGGACTTAATACCACATCTTTTTCATAGCCGTCCTGCCACCGCTGGAGTATCCCAGATTCCTCTAAGCCATAAAAACCAGGAGTTAAGATTCTAGCAAGCATAGTGTTGTCTGCAATGTACAAATTTTTTTCGGTGTATATCCCAGAACTCCGGTAGGATATTGTGAAATAGACATCCTTGAAAGTAAAAAGTTTAATTAGAGCATTGCACGCATTCTCGTCGTCTATTACTACTAAGATTTCCGGGAGAGCTTGGTACCCATTGATAGTTTTAACTAGATTGTTGCTGCTAGCACTAAATGCGAAATCATACCATGAAGAAAGCACTAAGGTTATACGATCCTTTATTTTTGTAAGTATTTTGTAAATGTGGGAATTATTAGCAGCAACGTTAAGTCGATTCTTAATTTCAACTGTGAGATATGAAGCGAATGTCTTGGTGCGGTTAGAATAGTCATAGGCTTCCGCCCCGGTACAAATCATTGGTATTGAGGTAAATCCGATGCTCTTTAAATCGCTTCTCAGAGACGGTAATGTCTTAGCTGTTAGCTGTGATGTGTAGGTTACACGAAACAAGTTGCCAACATTCATCGCAAGCACTGTGCAAGAAAGAATGAGGATTCGAATAATCGTAGTCCGTTTATTTTGTAAAGAATTTCCCATATCTACTGACTGATCCATTAGGTACCTCAGAAGAACAAGTGAAATGTGCCAAGGGTATCCTAATGTAGCAAAATTGAAAAACACCATGTTTTAAACATGTTTAAATAGAGTAGCAGCAGGAGAAGGCAAATCCAAGTATATGTAGGAATCGAATGAAGTCTGAAGTCAGCAAAGCAAAACCGTTAGCCTCCTGTTTTTTACTGAATATCACAGTTCTTAATTCCAGGAATGCACCAGCAGGAGTAATGAATTAGCTTGGTAGGATGAAAAATTTGTCCGGATAAGAATCATTAATATCATCGTCGCTTATACGAACGTAATACAAGGGTACACTACTATTTTCCTGCTGAGGTGCGAATGTGAAATTATATTTACGAGCTAATGTTGTCGTGACGCAAGCAAAAGGTTTTGGGGAGTCCTTAACTTTGTAAATACCACATATTTAAGATAGATATATACAATGAAATAGTGCTTTTTCACCTTCCAACGATTTTCAAGTTAGATAAAAAAAATAAGTAGATCAAAAATCCGTAATAAGATTGGGGGCGCGCTTAGCCAGTTTTCGAGATAAATGCCAGAATGTGCGAATAATTTGGAAATTTTGACTTTTGTCTCAAACTCGTCAAAATAAGGTCTAGTATGACTGGGAATAATTCATAAATTTATTTTAAACAAGAATTTGGCAGCTGCCTTGATTTCTGACCCCAATTTTCAAATTGGTTGAAAATTGCAAAATAATTGCATTTTACATATTAGTTTTCCACGATCGAATTACAGTATTTATGACAAGTTGTTGTCGTATTATTTAATAACACCTAATAGTTGTGTACATATCTGTCCAATTCAACTGTACCTTAAATTTGACAACCCTTTTGCCAATTATGGGTATCAGTTT